TCTCCTTTTTTTTTTTCTTTGAGAAAACGTCTCACTTTGTCTCCCCAGGTACAGTGCAGTGGTGTCATCGCAGCCCACTGCAGCCTGAAATGACTGGGCTCAAGCGATCCTCCTGCCTCAGCCTCCGGAGAAGCTGGGACTATAGGCACGTGCCACAACGCCCAGCTAATTTTTCTATGTTTTTTAGTAGGGACAGGGTCTCGCTCTTGCTCAGGCTGGTCTCAAACTCCTGAGCTCAAGCAATTCTCCTGCCTCAGCCTCCCAGAGTGCTAGGATTAAAAGCATGAGCTGATTTCCCCCCTTTTGTTGTGCATAAAACTGGTTTCATTTTTCCCACGTGTCCTATTGGAAGAAAACTCCTTTTAGTCCTCTAGGTTCTATGTTCTCTGCCTGGGAGGACCCAGGAAACTGAGGTAGGTTACAGCTGGTGGATTTGAGGACAGGTTATATTTTCAGGTAGACTTGGCGAATAATGGTGGTCTTAACTTGGAAGTTAACTTGGAAGTTCAGGGGTTACAGAGGAGCACAGCTTAGATTTATAGAAGTTAGATTTTTGGAGAAACAGGGAATGTATTTTGAAAAGGATTGGTTTTCTTGACAAGAGAGAACAATCAGGGGTCAGCTTAGAAGAAACAAAAGAAGAGGCCACATTTGAGCGTCCTCCCGTCCCCCTCTCTTATACTCTAGCTTTCATGTCATTTTGTTTTGGGTCTGTTCCTCTTTTTTAGTTGGTGAAACTTAAGATATTTAGGGTAAGGAGAGGGGCAGACTTAGAGAGTTTCAAAAAATTTAAAAAATTTTTAGTGTATCTGCCCTGGTGAATTGGATAACCAAAATATGCTAAAATTTCACAAGTTTTACACTGTATTTGATGTTGCTAAAATCCTCTTGTAAAATGATCAGAATTTAAATAATCAAAGCACATAAAAATAACAAAAAGTTAACGTACAATATAAAAAGCATCTGAAAATAAGATCCTGGTAATATCAAGAATAAAAAATACATTTTAAAATAGTGATTATCCTGGAAACTCTAGGGAGAGGCTCTGGGGATAGAGTGAAAGAGTGGCTTTGAGAAGGTAAGGGCAGGGAGGGAGAGGAACGCCTTTGAGGGACCTCTATGGCATCGTGGGATCACAGGATGAGCCACTTTCTCTGTCCCCCACCCGGCGCCAAATCAGGCTGGTTTGATCTGAGCATGTCTCTTGCAGTGGATTTCGATTTGGAAAGGCCCAGAGGAGGGCAGGCCTCTATCCAGCAGTCTGAAACTTTGTTTGGATTTCTACAGTGACCTTTGGGAACTGGGCTGCTATGGAAGAGTTTTGAAATCCTGAAGACAACGAGTGAAGACTGGTCCAGTGTTGTGTTGGACATATTAGCATCAAAGTGCTCCTATTTACCCCTGTGACAAGACCCACCTCAAATCTGTTTCCAAAAAGAAAATTCACCTTCCGTCATCCTTCATTCATAGTTAGACATCCTGGTAGAGCTAGGGCAGAGTAGAGGAATTTGGGGTGGCCTAGATATATTTTATCTTATCCACAAGAGTAGATTCTTGTCCTTTTACCAAAGCTTAAGCAAAAAGACGTTGCTTAAGAAAAGGTACCTAGTGCCCTCTTCACGGGGGAAAGAGAAGGTTATGAATTGGGCCTGGCTTTGTGTTTGCACAATCATCAAAGAATCTTCTTTATGACCCCTATCACTTTATCACTGCACAGCTCTGCCTTTTACCACTGCCCTAATAAAAAGAGAAAACAAAAAGAAAATAGTGTTAAGATTTTTTTTTAAAGAATCATTTTTTTAACACAAAAATTCCCCGAGTTTGGAAAAAAGGAGCTTAATTCTAGCAGTTTGGGAAAGAGTTGAGGAAGAAGATGGAGAAAAGAGACTGATTACATTAACACTTGACAAAATAGCAGAAAATCTTAAAGAAAGTTCCAAGATTAGTTCATGGCCTTGTTTTGAAAGGAGCTGGTTCCAGGACTGCTTTTGCCATCCTCTTAGGCTCACATGTACAGACCTGCAAAATTGTGGAGGAGGCTGGCTGTCCTTGAGCGGAGTGGTCCAGCAGGTGGAGATTCAGTGTAGCCTATTGAAAAGGGCTCCCACATCTGTTTTGGAAAGGTAGAATTCTTTTAGGAGTTTGGCCTGGCAAATAAGTATTCAGAATTTCTGAAAGCACCTGCCTTTCAGGGCTCTTTGATGAATGTGACTTCTATATATCTCAAGTCATATTTTATATCAGTATTGGCTGTTGCCTCTGTAGCTCTGATTAAAAGGAAAAAAAAAAAACACTGCCAAGAGATTTGAAGAAAATATTTTAACCTCAAGGGAAATCCTACCCTGAAGTATTTCTCTAATGAGATCTCTCCTCCCCACATCCTCATTAGTTTGTTTTGAGAGAGAGCTGTAAATGTTTCTAGAAGATCTATGGAAAGGGAGCTGTGGGGAAGAACCTCATCAGTACAGTTTTGGATGACCTGTAATTTCTTAGAGGTGTTATGAGACCTCAATTGATCACATTCCCTCCCCAAATACTCGTCAGGACTCCTCCATCATCTCCTTCTGGTTTCTGCTCAGACATCACCTCATCAGTGAAGTCTCTCTTGACTCTCCTCCTTCCCCTTCCCTGTTTGATTTTTCTCAGCAGCACTTATTACCAGCTGACACGCTGTATTGACTTGTTTGTTTATTGTTTTTCTCCCTTTGCTAGAATGTGGGCTCCATAAGAGGAGGGAGATTTGCTCAGTGTGGAATCCCCAGCACCACTAGCACAGTGCTGGGCACGTGGTATGTTCTTACTAAATACTTTTGAATGAATTAGTAGGGGAAACTGCCACACCTATTAAATGCTGTGGACAGGAAGAAAAAAAGCTGTGGTTTTAAACATGCACCACACATTTAAAATGACCTGGAGTAGATTTGGCATCAAATGAATCCTCCCGTGAATATGCAGATCTCGATAGCATATTCCAGGGCAAGTAGCTTTGGAAGTCCGTCTATTTATTTTACAAAGGTTAACATTAATTTAAGTAATACTGAGGAATTGGCTAGAAATGAAGAAATGAAGCCTGCAGTGTCATATAAGCCTCAGGACCCTCCACTGTAAAATGATAGAGCTGGACAAAGACTGGATGATTTCTAAGGTTCCTTTTAATTCTAAGTTACTAAGGGAGAAGGTGTTTAGAGTTTGGCGTGGTGGGGGGCGGGGAGAGAGAGAGAGAGAGAGATGCACTACTACATTTCGCCACAAGATGACAGTATTGCTTTTATCAAAACCAAGTACTGCACTGTATTCTGCTACATCGAGTAAATAGAAATAAATCCAGAAGGTTCATGAGGGATATAAATTACTTTAGTAAAGATATTATATGTGAGGCACCCATTAGTTTAGGAAAACTATGTGTCAGAAAGAATTACCTTTCTTTTGTAACGCTTGGGAAATAGTTGGAAATATAGATTTCTTCCTCCTTCCCTCCCTCTCTCCCTTTCTTCCTTTTTCCCACCTAGTCTTCCTCCCTCCTCCTTTATTCCTTTCTTATTCTTTCTTTCAAATTCTCACTTTATCACATCAAAGTTTTCAAGTCAAACGAAACAGAGATGTATAAGAAAAGGTTAGTATTTTCTCCATTTTCTTTTAATTCCAACCCTCCTAAGTAACTAATGTTAATACTTTCTTCTATTTTTCCATTTCTTCCTCTGTATTCATACATATACATACACATGCATAGACATGTATATTATATTTATTTTTAACTTTAAATTAATATCTGATCATCTGTTGGGCAATAAATTTAGATGTTTGAAAAACTTTTCCATCTCTTCCTTATTGTTGCAAACAACCATGATGATGACTACAACAACAATACACACAGAATGTGTACATAACCCACCTCTAATTGCACCCGGTTTCCATTTTTTCTTCTTTATTTATTTACTTATTTATTCATATATTTAGGGGGTACAAATGAAGTTTTGTTACTTGGATATATTGTGTAGTGGTGAAATCTGGGTTTTTAGTGTAGCCGTCACCCAAATAGTATACATTGTGTCCAAGAGGTAATTTCTCATCCCTCACCCCCTCCCAACCTCGTACCTTTGGAGTCTCCAATGTCTCCTATTCCACTCTCTATGTCCGTGTGTACACATGATTAGCTCCCACTTATGAGAACATGTGATATTTGACTTTCTGTTTCTGAGTAACTTTACTTAGGGTCATAGCCTCCACTTCTATCCATGTTGCTGCAAAAGACACGATTTCATTCTTTTTCATGTCTGAGTGGCATTCCATGGTATATATATTTATATACACCACGTTTTCTTTATCTAATCATCTGTTGGTAGACATTTAGCTTGATTCATAACTTAGCTATTATGAATACTGCTGGGATGAACATACAAGTGCAGGTATCTTTTAACTTTTTATTTATTTTTTCCCCATTCATTTTTTATTTGTATTTATTCATGGGGTACAAGTGCAATTTTGCTACAGTTAAGTATTTTATTGTGGTGAGGTCAGGCCCTTCAGTACATATATCACTGGAGCAATGCACATTGTATCCACCAAGCAACCTCGTATCACCAATCTCCCTCCGTCTTCCCCTACCAGGTGTCTTTTTAATATAATGGTTTCTTTTCCTCTGGGTAGATACCCAGTAGTGGCATTGCTGGATAGAATGGTAGTTCTATTTTTAGTTCTTTGAGAAATCTATCTTGAGAAGAGAAACACTTGGCCTGGGGAGATTGACCATGTCTACTTTTGCCTTTTGTTATTCTTCACATTTGCCTTCTCTGTTCTTTACAAACATTATGCTTTTCAATCTTCACCAGAACCACTGGACTAAAACTTGTGGATTTATCAGTAGAAAATGTTTATGCGAAGAGACTCCTGTAAGGGAACCTATAGCTGCTGCTGTGCAGGAAGCTTACAGTCACCCTGGCAAGAAAGGAGCTCCTCCCCTCGTGTTTCTTCTGGGTTTTGCATCCAGGTTGAGCTTCCCTCCCTCAGCCACATGGAGGGTTTACCTTCTGCAGACTCCAGTGGCTCAGAAACCAGGGATGCAGGGCCAGGCTCGTGGGGTGCTGCAGCAGACGTGGGGATTTTTCCTTCTTTGTGTTTCCCTGAAGATGGGAGGTAAGTCTCAACAGAATAGCAAATGCTGCTGGAAGTTTTCAAAATACTTCTTCCAGCGAAACAATTGCAACTTTTGACATTTGTAATGAAACAGCCTTTGCTATATGCATTTTCCTTATGTGGTGCTAATTGTCCTCCTGTTACTATTGCTGCTGCTACTTTTGCCACCATTTTCTTCTCCCCTATCAGTGGCAGTTCTTTTGTGACCAGGTGGAACCTATCCTTTTTAATAATGATGTGTCTTGTCATAGGCGCTGCAGGCCAAAGCATTGAGCAGCCCAGTGAGTTGACAGCTGTGGAAGGAGCCTTCATTCAGGTCAACTGCACCTATCGGACATCTGCGTTCAATGGGCTGTCCTGGTACCAGCAACATGACGGCAGAGCACCCATATTTCTCTCTTACAGTGTTCTGGATGGTTTGGAGGGGAGAGGTCATTTTTCTTCATTCCTTAATCGCTCTGCTGGGTACAGTTACCTCCTTCTGAAGGAGCTCCAGATGAAAGACTCTGCCTCTTACCTCTGTGCTGTGAGAGACACGGTGACTATGAGGCCTCCTCAGCTGCACCAAAATTCAAAACGCAACCACAGCAGTGAGAAGTTTTGTTTCCCGAGTGTACGCCTGCTGTGAGTTAAGATTGAGGACTCTGAGGCCGGGCGCGGTGGCTCA